ATGATCGGAGGTGCATGGAGGTGAGGCTGCTTCTCTCAGCCTGTGTATCTACACTGGGACTCCCACGATTGTGGCAGACACATAGGAGTGTGTTTGTCTGATTCTGCTAGTGGGTGATGGCTGCCTGAGGGAACCAAGGGCCTCAAATGATGGCCTATGGACACACAGGGCTTATCTGGCTGTGTGTCCCTGCTCCTGCTGGCTGCCTGCAGGAAGGAGCCTTCTGGTGGCAGCTCCCTGAGGGTGAAGGCAGATCTGTTGGTTCTCTCTGCGCATGCTGGCCACCTGTAGGACATGGCCTTTTGGTGGTGGCGCACAGCAGGCAGAGGTGGATCTGTCTGTCTCCTTTGACCTAAAATGGGCGCGCAGAGGAAAGGGCCTTCCAGTGGCGGCATCTGGCAGGCAGAGGCAGCTCTTCTGCTTCTCTCTGCTCATGCTGAGTGTGCAGAGGAAAGGTTGGGTTTTATTTATATTGCACTCCTTTACAGGTTAAAAAAACCCTTTTTTGGTACTGGGGATTGAAGCTAAGGCCTTTGTAGTGATCTGTATCGAGCTCTTCTTTCATTTTGAGACAGGATCTTGCTGAATTGTTAAATTGCTCAGGCTCAGCTCAAACTTGTGATCCACTTGCCTTAGTCTCCCTCAGTGCTGGGATTACAGCTTGTATCACTACACTTCAGCTGGACACAAACACTTCATGTTTTGCAAGAGTCTCCTTATGTGTAGTTTTGTTTCTACTTTTTAAGAGTAGTTTTTGATGAGGATAAGCTTAAAATTCTGATGAAATCCAATCATGAAAATTTTTAAAAAAATTAAATATGCTATATTTTGATTAATACTTGCTCTAATATCTTTTATCATCATTTTGCTGGCAACTTTTTCTTATATACAGTATATATGAATTAGTTTCTTATGTCTACCTTCAATATTTATACTTTAACTGGTAAGTTTATTCCCTCTGTACTTATTAGAATTAATATATTCAGACTAGTTCCTACTATCTGAATTATATTTTATATAATTCAATTATCTTCTATGTTAATTTCTCTTTCTTCTTGCTTAAACTTTACTGTAGATAGAGATCTACCTCAACCCCAATAAGTTAAGAAGTTTATCAAGTCTCACTTCTTCTAATCTCTTCTTCCTCAAATTTATCATACTGATTCCTGTTAGACTGTTAATTCTGGGGTACAGTGGGTGCCTTTTCTCAGTTTTAACTGTTTTCTAAAGATAACAGTAACATTACCATGATATTTGATTTCCTTTGCTGACTGTATCCTTGCAACATTTTCTGCAATTGTGTTTCCTTGTATTTGAGTTTTATCTAAACTGCCTCTAAGGTGGTCACTGGAGTAGGATGTGCTTTGCCTGCAAAGCTGTTCATATTGTTGCATCCTTGAATAGCAGTTTGCTTGGATAAACATTCCTGGTTCTAACTTATTTCTTCACCATTTAAAAACTTTACTTTGTCATCAATCTGTATCCACTGTTGGAGTTGGAAGACACAACTTGATTTATTTTTATTCAGATGATTGTTTTTTCAAAATGTGAAACTGAGATAGAATTAGGCCTTCTCCCCACTCTCTCTGCTTGCCTCTAGAATATTACACACTTTACTATTTGAGGTTCTGCTGAGGAGAAGACTCGGAGACAAGGACTTGGGGGAAGTGGGGTGTTTGGGAGGCACGGTGTCAAAAGGTGTGTGTGTGTGTGTGTGTGTGTGTGTGTGTGTGTGTGTGTGTGTGAATAGCTAGCAATGTGCACATTTGGAAGCCTGCATCCATTGTGGGTCCCAGGGACTCTAGGAAGCCAGGAGAGCTCCAGTGTCTTCCTCCTAAGGGACCAGGAGGTTGGACATTAATCTCCCAGCTCTCGTTGGTCAGTAGAGCTACAGGAAATACCATCCTGTCTTGCTGGGGTCAGAGTGGGAGCCTGCTTGGTGGCACTGTGGTAGTAAGGCTGTGCTCCTTATGCCTTATGGCTTACTTGACAAGAACCTGCTTTGTGCTTGGTTTCAGGAAGGAATCAGGCTAGCCTTGTGCAAGGGAATGTTGGGTGTGGAGATGAAGCTGGGTACTCTAGAGGGAGTGGGATGAAGGCTAGAGGACAGGGTATGAAGTGAACAAGATCAGAACAGTAGTTGAGGGGGAGCGCAGCCCCGGATCTGCATGAAGAGTTGAGCTTTGTCCTGTTAACCAGTGATTTCTGTCACTTCCCAACTTCAGTGATGTATCAGAAATATCAAGGAAGCCTTTGTACAAATGAACATGTTTGGTTCATAAAAGTAGCAGCCAGTCAAAATAAAACTGGTGGCCTTCTTGGTTACCAGGTGGTGCCATTTGAAACACCACAAGAGGCTATTATGTACTCCTCAGAGGGACAAACTAAACAGTGTGATTATCCCTAATGTGGGAAGGGCCCAGAGAAAGAGATGACACTCTCAGTGCCCACGGTGGAATGGACAATGGTCTACCAGTGTGAGGGGCTGGTGACTGAGCTTGAGCTGTGAGAATGTAGTGTGTGTGCCACGTCAGGCTAATGGGAAACCCTGCCTGATTTGAACTAAAATGTTCCACTTTTGTGTGTGGTGGCAAGAATCTAGAAACAACCTAAAACCTCTGGTTTGAGTAGATAATCCCCATCATGATCTGCCCTGTAGCACGTAAGGATCAGTGCAGACACCTGAGTGCTAATGGACTGGGGGATCTTATGACCATGATGACAGCCTGAGCCCTCTTGCCAACCCAGGTCCCTGGCAAGCATGGAAATCTGTGGGCAGCAGGTGACAGTATCCCTTCCCTGGAGGCCCTTTATTGTCTACAAATCCAGAAAAAAGAATGGCTGATAGGGTGGCCAAGGTGGAGATAAGGTGCTCAGCCTGAAGCCCCTGGTGGATGCTGCTGGAGTGTAGAGTTCAGTGTTTTTGCAGGAACCTGTGGCCTGCTATCATGGTGTCGTGAGTGGCAGGGCGCACATATTCCTCAGCTGCAGTGCTAGGGGTCTCCAAGGCAGGCTATCAACACGTGGGAGGGGTCTCCAGGGAATCCTGGCAGTCAGACAGCACCTCTGTCATTCCTGATGGGTCTCTAAGTGACCCCAGCTCCAAGCCCAAACCCAAGTCTGCAGACCAGGCAACAGCATGGAAGCTAAGGACAGAGCAGGTTCTTGTCCAAGAGACCACAGTACAGCATCTCTTGCCCACAATTGTCTGGGAGAAACAGTTCCTGGGCTCAGCCATGATATAACCCAGGCTTGACTCAGGCTGGCCTGAGCTCTGAGGTAGAAGTTGCTCACATCCGCTGTTGCCCACTGTCTAATCTCTTGCAGCAATGTGTGTGGGGCAGGACAAGAGCTGGTGGGCCTGAGGCCAGTGGAGACAGTGGGTCTCTGAGGGAGAATCCAGAACCTCAGACCCAAAGGATTTGTGGCACAGGTGGACCCTGAAGCTGTCTGCATGAGGAGTCCTGAGTGTTCTTCCCCTGAGTGATGGAGATATAGCACATGAAATGAAAACCAAGTTACTTACTTTGGAGGTTACACTCCTAACAGGGCACTGCACATGAATCTTGGGCAGAGGAAAAACATTTTAAAAATGCCCAAGGTCTTCCTTGTTCTGAGTGGCCCAGTTGGCCACATGCTCCCTGAGGGCCTTTTACCTGGGCAGATAGGGATGGGCAAGAGTCTGTCTTACCAGTTTGAGGTGCACAGACCTGGCCCACATATAGGAACTTTTTTTTTTAAATGGTACTGGGGATCAAACTCACAAACTTGTGCATGCCATGCAGGTGCTGCTGAGCCAAATCCCCAGCTCACATGTAGGAGTTTATTCCCTGGAGGCTGAAAGTCAAGCTAGGCAGAATTAGCTCCTCTCAAGACCTCTCTTCTAGGATTGTCGATGCTGCTTTCTCCCTGTGTCCTCATTCCCTGTGTGCCTCCTATGAGGATACCAGTCAGATTGAACTATGGCCCACACATGTGATCTCATTTGACCTTGAACACCTCTTTAAGACCTGATGTGCAAACACAATCACATTCTGAGGTTCTGAGTTTTAGATTTCAGTGTAAGAATTTGGAGAACCCAAGTTGCCCATGTCTGGGGTCTACTCCTTGCTGAACACACAGACCGCTTTGTTTCCTATAGAATTAGCAGAAATGTCTCCTCCTTCACTCTTGGGTTTGGTTAGATCATATTCTTTGTGTACACTTAGCAAAATGTCCTCAAACTCCCAGACTTGCCTGTTATAGTGGCACATGTCTGTAATCTCAGCACTCTGAGAGGCTGACACCGCAGGATCCCAAGTTTGAAGGCATCCCAAACAATTTAGCAGCTTGGGAAGGCCCAGTTTCAAAATAAAAATTAAAAGGACTCAGGGCAAAGACCTTGGGTCATTTCTTAGTACTGCAAAACAAATAACAATAACAAAAAAATCTTTTCAGACTCTTCTGTAAGCAGGCTATAGCCTTCGACCATGGGAAAAGGGATATGGGATCACTGCAGACTGCAGGAAAGGAAGACACAGGGAGTCTACAACTCTTGTTCTCTGATCTCTCACATTCAGAATCATGACATGGCATAGTCTCTAATGACCCACCCAATGCATGGAGCCATGCATGGCCAGAAGCCATCTCCTGGCCCCAGAGACCTGCTGGGGGCACAGGACAGCATGACAGGTGCATAGCCAGGAATGGTGGGTATTGGATATCTATTGCTATATAAGTACCAGGACCCCTGAGCCCCTGGGTCTATTTTGACCTGGCTATTGTGGGAGCCAGGAAGGCCAGGGTCAGTGGTATCCAGGTAATTGCTGCAATGGGGTGGTTGGGGTAAGAACATTTCTGGGTCCTCTCAGGGGGCTCAAGGAGGTATAGCAACAGCTTGCCTTCACCCCTCACTACATATGGGAGGTCACTGTCACTGCAAAAGATGGATATGCCCTGAGACCTGCTTAGTGCACTGACCCAACCATCCTGCCCTGTTTGGCAAACTCCCTGATACCCACCAGAACTCTGAGACTGGCCTGCATGGTGATTAGGATATCACCAGTCTCAGGTACTGAGCTCCTATGGGATACAGGGCTATAGCTGTAGATGAAGATGTGGTGGTGGGCGCCTGTTTCAACTTGGTTTATAGAGGCACCCACTTGGCCTGTCACTCCTTTATCATAGTTCTGTCCCTTTCTGAGCATTATATTCATGGTCTATATCCTTCCATAGGGCACCCCCCACCTCAACCTGCCCTAGGAGCAATGAACTTACATTGACCATTTATTCTCCCTGGTCCAAAGACAGGAGAAGATGTGACTGCATATAGCACATGCCCCCTCTTCCTTCAGCAGGGCTGGTACACCACATGGCCACATCCTGTTGTGGAGGATAAATGGGGCTCAAGGAAGACACAAGAAAGGGAAGAGTGGCAGAGTGAGGTTATTCAGCTCACGGAGCCCCTGCCCTCTGGTTTTCTGGCTCCATAGCTTGTGTTTGGGGTCTGAGTTTTCTGTATTCAGGTTGCCACAGGATGTTATGGCTGCTGCTCTTGACCCTCCCCTGCTTGGGGGGCTCCATTCCCACGACTCCTGGTGAGTCCTGACCCTATTCCATGCCCTAGCTGCTCTGACCTCATCCCTGCCCTCAGGGCTCACAGGACAAGTGCTGGGGCTGTCCATTTGCCAGAAGCCTTGCTGACTCTGAGTCCCGAGCACCTCCCTCCATGCTCTGACAACCACTCCACCTACTTCCTCAGACCTCCAGCCAGGTCAGGAGCTGGTGGGCATCGTTGGGGGCTGCCCTGTCTCAGCCAGGAGGTTCCCATGGCAGGTCAGCCTTCAGTTCTACAGCCAGGACAGCCTCCGGTGGAAGCACTTCTGCGGGGGCTCGCTCATCCACCCACAGTGGGTGCTGACTGCTGCCCACTGTCTTGAGCCGTAAGTGGGGCCATCCATGCTCTTGGCTGGGTATAGAGCCATCAGGAGGGAGGCAGAATTTCTGGGCTGTACCCAGGCTACAGGGCCAGCCTTGTCCCGCGTGTCTGGCCCAGTCCCTGCAACTGAGCTGAGCTTAATCTCCCTGGCCTACAGGCCTCCTTCTGAAGGACTTGTGGTGTCCCCTCCCCAGGGAGGAGCTGGAGGCTTGTGCCTTCAGGGTCCAAGTTGGGCAGCTGAGGCTCTATGAAGATGACCGACTGTTGAAGGTGGCTCAGATCATTCGCCACCCCAAATACAATGAGAGCCTGTCTGCTGAGGGAGGTGGGGACATCGCCCTGCTGAGACTGAATGCCCCTGTGACACTGTCAGAGGACATCTACCCTGTCTCCCTCCCTGAAGCCTCCCAGAATGTTTCCTCGGGGAAGACCTGCTGGGTGACCGGCTGGGGTGACATCAGGTTTAAAGGTAAGGATTGGGGAGACTTCATGGCCATTCTGTGTCCACTGTTGGGAACAGGTGTGCCCCCCTCATGATTTTCATCTGACCCCTCCCACAGTGTCCCTGCCCCCACCTTACCACCTACGGGCAGTGGCAGTGCCCATTGTGGAGAACGAGGCCTGTAACCAGAAGTACCAGAACTCCTCCTTGGACAGTGCCAGCAAGGTCATCAAGGATGATATGCTGTGTGCTGGACGAAAGGACCGTGATTCCTGCCAGGTGAGCCCTGCCCAGCCTCCCCCGTTGTTCTTCCCAGCAAAGATCCTAGGGTCAAGGTGTGTATGTGGGGAGGGCACTGGAAGATGTACTGTGTCTCATATTTCTTTAGGGTGATTCTGGAGGTCCCCTTGTCTGCACATGGAACTGTACCTGGGTGCAAGTAGGCGTGGTGAGCTGGGGTATCAACTGTGGCCATCATGACTTCCCTGGAGTGTATACCCGTGTGATGAGCTATGTGTCCTGGATCCATCACTATGTTCCCTTCTTCCCTGGGCCCTAGATGGGGTCTGGTTGGTGGAGAAAACCCCCAGTCTTCCTTTTGATGCTTCCTGTTCTTCCTCTCACCTCTTAAATGTCCTTATCCTTCAGTGGGGTTATTCCTGTCCACCTATGCTGAGTTTCCTGGGCCTCTCTGAATTCTGGAAGCGAGGGCTGGAAGGCAGTGTCTCTGGGAAGTGGGGTAGTTGTGAGATGTGTGACCAGACCACTTGCTTACCCAGTTTCTCATTAAACTGTGGATTTTCTAATTGATCTCTGTTTGAACTCAGAGCCTAAAAGTGACAGGAAAGCTGGGCTGGAGGAATGGGGGCATCCCTGGCCAGTGCTCTAAGATCCTCTACCACTCTACATTGTGGCCATCAAAGGGGATCAGACACACAGCCTGGATGTTCCAGGGCTGACCCCACTGGTTTGTTCAGGTCTCAGGCTTTTGAGGGGGGGCATGTCTCACCACAATATTTCTGTCCTCACTCAAGGGTACCAAGATGACCCTTTTTGAGCCCACATGGCCATTCAATTTTAAGGCTCAAATGTTAATTTCCTTCCCATGTCATTCAAATCTGCTCAGAATCATCATAAGTGTCCACCCTGCCACAACCCACCAGAACTGTGAGACCCTGACTGTGAGGAAGCCCCTGGTGCTCACTGAAACCTCCTGCCCCTTGCTGCCCAGTTCAGAGCCCACCAAGACTTGTTCTCAGTACCCTGGAACCCACTGGTGCCACAATGGCTGGACTTTCCCTTGCTTTCCTTGATTTAGGGAAGTCCTCACCTCCCAAACCACAAGCCTCCTCTGGGAACCAAGAAGCCCTCTCCAGTACCCTAGAGCCACAGGAAGAAGGTGGGACATACTGCCCCTGTTGGTTCCTGGTCACTAGGCACTGGCTCTCCCACTGGAGTACCTTGTTCCCATGTCTCTTGTACCCCCAGTTTTCTTGGCCCCCAATGTGGTTCAGCTAGTTTTGGGGGCTCTCACACCCAGGGAGGAGACTTTGCTCATAAAGAAGCATGGCTGTATGAAGAACAATGATAAAGAAGGGCACAGGTTTTGGGCCTCTCCTCGGCAGTAGAGACTCATGGGGACACAGCAGCTGTCTATACATCCAGGACTAGACTCAAGGCCCCACCTCCATTCTGGTTCCTGATTCTGCCCTGTCTGAGGGGTTCTGTGCCTGTGACTTGAGTCCTGACCCTCACCCAGTGTTCCCACTTGCTGTCCTGGGACCCAGAGTTGGGTACAAGCTGACCCTCACATAAGAATGATCAGGCTCACCCTGGTCCCTAGGACGGGGTTGAGAATGGTGCCCAATCTGAGCTCTGGGCAAGGTCTCTTGGGCCCTTGATGGCTCCTCACTCTGCTTACCAGACCCTGACCCAGGGACTGAGCTTGTAGGCACCATGGGGTGTGATGACTGCTAGGGAGGGGCTCTGGCAGGTTGGCCTAAAGATACTCTACAAAGAACATGTCCAGTGGGAACACAAATTTGGGGACCTTGTGGGTGCTGGCTGCCCCCTGGGGGGAGGTGTGAAGGTGAGGAGAAAGTAGAGGCAGTTGTGTGGAGGGGCAGTGTCTTGGGTTGGGCAGGAGACCCAGGTTCCAGGTTGTATGAGCCCAGCTTGGGGGAATGGGGTGTAGGTGATCCTGCTTTGGCCTGGATATGGGAGCTCATGCCACTATCACAAGGTCTGACTCCCCTTCTGCAGCTGAGCAGAGATAAGATGAGATCCAAGAACCTCCTATCCCCTACCATTTCTGCCACTGAATGGCTGCCCTACTCATCCCTGCCATCATGCCACGGTTGACCTACTGGTCTCCAAGAGTAGGAGGGCTTCCATACCAGTCCTTAGTCCGCCTCTCTGACCTTCAAGTACTTCTGAAATTCTAGGTGACCTCCCCAGTCCTGAGATAAATAGCTTCCCAGACCCAGGTCTGGGTAGAAGGGAGGCTTTTAGAAGCCACCCACAGGGTCAGAGTGTGTATTTCTTCTATTGCTGCCTCTTCCAACTTTTAGCTAAGTTGCCTAGGTGTGTCACCTGAATTATCAGAAGCGGACACTAGTAACCTATCTGGAGGGAACTTTGGGGTCAGGTCCTGACTCATTTCCCACTCTCAAGTGATGCAGGAGATTCTGCCCACATCCAAAGAGAATCTTGGATCCCCAGAATCCTAAGGGTCAGGGGACTCTGTGGATCCAAGCCATAGAAGTAGAGACCGGGGAAGGAGGAAAGGTTCAGGGTTCACTTGGCCTAAGATGAGCTGAGGGAGTCTGGACTCCTGCTGGGGAGAACCAAGAGAGGATGCTTGAATTTGTGACACAGGTTGGTGACAGCATAGGTACAGGAACCTAAAGATGTCTTGCAACATTGCAGTTGAGGCTAGACCCAACTGGGTGCTGGGTGGAGATACCTTGGTGGCCAATAGCTTGAGAGTGCCCTCAAGGTCCCCATGTGTTACAACAGAAGGAACCAGGAGGACTGAGGTCCTAAGGCAGAGCCAAATTTACTCATAGAGGTCTTTATCCCTGGCCATTCCTAAACTTGAAGAAGCTACAGGGACCCAGGGGATCATAAGACAGTGAGACAAATATCACTTGCTTTACTCTCTCCTGCTCACATTAGAACATATCCCAAAAGGTGGGCATGTGGCATATACCTGTAATCTCAGCACTGTGGGGGCAGAGGCAAGAAGACTACAATTTTAAACTCAGTTTGAGCAACTTAGTGAGATCCTATCTCAAAATAAAAAATAAAAAAGGGCTTGGGCTATAGCTTGGTGTGAAGGCCCTGGGTTCAATCCTTAGTATCACACACACACACACACACACACACACACGCACGCACGCACGCATGCACACACACACCCCTTCTGAGGTGGCCTCTTGAACCCAGAAGGTAAAGATTCTGGACATGGATACCACGTTCTGCTCAGGGCTCTGCAGGGGACCCTTGGAACCTACCTAATCTACATTTCTACCTTGTCAACATTCTGGAACTTCTGGGCCTTAGCTCATTAGACTCTCAGGTGCCTTTGTCAAGCTCCAGGAACAAGGCTGGGAAAGAGGGTGTGAACCCACGTAGATGTAGATGTATACCTCAGTTATGTTTTTAGTCTCAGACCTCCTGGTGCAGGCAGCTTCTGAACGCTGTCGTGTGTGTGTGTGTGTGTGTGTGTGTGTGTGTGTGCATGCATGTGCATGTGTGTATCTATACAATCTAGGTACACTATTCACATATGTATGTGTGCACTTATGTAGCCATGCCTGTGTATCTGTGTATGCATGTGTGCGTGCATGCATGCATATGCACAGGCAGCCTCTAAATACTGGGTGCCTGTGTGTGTGTATATTTATACAGTATTAGTGTGCATGTGTGTACATCTGTACAAGAGTGTATGGATCTGTATGGATGTATGTATGTGTATCCTTCCACAGCTGGGCTCAGGTGTGTGTGTATGTACCTGTGCATGCATGTGTGCAGTGTATCTGTGTACATGAGTGCAAGAGTGTGGGCAAGAATGTGCATGAATGTGCATGTGTGTCTGTGTGGCTTTGTGCACATGTGCATGCATGTAGTCATTCAGTTGCACAAACTGAATCAGTCCTAACATAAGTAAAGATAAAATAAATATCACATGTAACTCTCATATGTATGAATGGGATCCAATCACAACTAAACATGCAATGTGCAACATTTTCTTGCCAATCGCAATTGTCTTAATTTACCAAAGAAGGTCCTGTAGGTATATCTGTAGGTACAGTTATGAAGTATTGATTTCATTACCTCCATTTGCAGCCCCCAACAGTTACTGAGTCTGGTCTTCTTTCCACTGAGTTCCCAGTTGCTTATAGTAAAAAACAAAAACAACAGCCATACATTCAACCATACACCCCACTCTTGAGAGTGCACCCAGGGAAAGTGAAGACTTCACATGAAAGAGACACCTGCATGGCCATGTTTACTGTGTACCAATGGCCACGATATGGAACCAGCCCAGGTATCTGATAGTGGATGAGTGGGTAAAGAAAATGTAGTACACAACCACAAAGGAGCACAGTACTACTCAGCCATACAGATGAATGAGATCTGTCATTTATGGGAAAGTGGGTAGAACTGGGAGGCACTGTGTTAAGTGAAAAAAACAGGACACAAAAGAAAAGTAGAAATGTTTTCTCTCATATGTGGAAACTGAAATAAAATTACTTGAAAGTAGAAGAGGAACTATTAGGGACTGGGAAAGGGACTGGGCAGGGGGGAGTAGGACAAATTGTCACCATATGACATATATACATGTGAAAATAAAAATGAATTGCATTAATTTGTGTAGTTAATACACATAAATAATAATAATAATAAAATGATAGGCAAAGTCCCCCCCCCTTTTTTTTTTTGGTACCAGGGATAGGCAAGTGCTTATGTTGCTGCACTAAACCCCTGGCCAAAGCCATTGTTTTTTTTTTTTTTTTGTATTTTTTTGAGATGGGGTCTTGCTATGCAGTTCAGGCTGGCCTTGAGCTCACTTTGTAGCCCAGGCTGGTCTCGAACTCGCAATGATCCTCCCACCTCAGCCTCCCGAGTGCTGGGATTACAGGCATGAGCCACCATGCCTGGCTCAAAACCATCATTTTTTATTGGTTTATATATCAAACTTAGGTACAAGCCCTCCTATATTTGACAATTAAAACATACAATTCTGTTGGGCACAGAGGTGCACACCTGTAATCCTAGCACTCTGAGAGGCTGAGGCAGGAGGATTGCCAAGTTCCAGCCCATCATGGGCAACTTAGTGAACTAGAGGGACACTGTATCAAAATAAAAAAATTAAAAAAGGGCTGAGATGTGAAGGCCCTGAGTTCAATACCCAGTAACACACACACGCATGCACACACACCCTACTTCTAAAAAAATTTTTGGATCAAAAAATATGATGGAAACAAAAGGTGTTTAGAACTAACAATAGTGATAACTCCATTTGTTGGTCATGTGGGTCACATGCAGTGACCTTCCTCAGGGAAAGAGCAAGGATTTACAGGGTTTTATAAAAGTAGAGGACAGAGTGGTGTGTAGCTCCGTGTTAGTGTGCTTGCCTAGCATGCATGAGGCCCTGGCTTCAATTTCTAGTACCACATATCAATCAATCCATCAACCAATCAAACTTCAATAAAGATATGGAACTTGTAAAAAAGAAGACAACAGGGACCATGAACTCAAATTTCAATCCAGAAGTGAGAAAATAACATTAGAAAAAACCCTAA